TGGCTGGCTGGGGAATTCTGGGAGTTGAAGTCCACTCATCTTAAAGCAGGGCCAAGTTTGGACAACACTGCCAGAGATGCTACCAGAAATAGTAAATAAGGAAAAATAAAATCCTCTCATTCATATATGCTGCAGAGAAACACTATTTTTAGAGCAGGTCATTTAACTCAAAACTTAAAAAGTGTATTCATTTATTATTTGGTAGATTTTGGGACTGGCCAACAACCCCAGTTCCAGAGTTTCCCAAAGCTATGCTTAGTAGGAGAGATCACATGCTCCTTGAATTTAGTCACAGCCATGAAGTTGTGAGTCAGTTGTTACAAACCAATCTTTGAGAATTTGTTGGGATTCTGCTAAACAAACAACCAACCAACCAACCTACAGAAAATCAGCAGAAGCATCTCTAACCCACTCAAACGCGCATGCACACACACACACACAGACTCTACACACTTCCTGCCTCCCCACCCCCACTCCAAACTGATAATAGCCTAAAGTAACCAAAGTAAAATCTTGATTGATGATGATTACACAAGCATGCCCATGTTGTTCTCTTGGTAACAACATGGAAGTGATTTGCCATTGACTTCTTCCAGGATGTTTTCTCAACTTCCCAGGCTATCTTAAAGTACACAAAGTACATATATAAATATACTGACATTTAGGATTGGGACACAAATCATGCTTTTCTGTATAAACCACAGACAATGCACCTTAATGCTCTTTTAATGTTACTGCTGGCTGCCACTGTTCTCTGACTGCATATTTGTTTATTTATGGTATTTTTCTGCTGTTCTAAATTAGTGTTTTTCAAACTTGGCATCTTTAAGAATTCCCCAGCCAGCATGGGAATTGAGGTCCACACATCTTAAAGTTGCCAAGTTTGAAAAACTCTGTTCTAAATCAACTTCTTGATTGCCTTTTAAGAAAAAAACATTATAAATAGAACCACATAAATAAAAGAATACAGGAACAGGGAAATCTCACTTTTGCAAGAATGTGCTTATCTTTGATGATATATTCATATGTAGTGAGCAAAACATTAAACTTTCCACTTCGAAGCTGAGGTACAAATGCCCGTCTTGCAGCTGGAGAGCCCTAAAAAGAACCAAACAACACACACACACACAAAATCTAAACACAAGGTTTTGACATTTATGCTGTTTACTGCATGTATGGTTGTGAAATGACTTGACTGACCTGCTTTATAACTTTTCACCAGATGAGTAAAGAAATCAGTAGCTCAGAGAAGGGCGTGGAATTATTTATTATTTATCAAACTTATATTAAACTTCACAGAGGTTCTGGAGAGAGGAATAAGCTTTGTGGGGCTGGCTGAAACGTTTGGGAAGCTAAGAGGCAAAGTCCAGAATTGAGGAGAAACAGAACCATGAAAAATAAACAAAACATAAAGTTTGAGGGGAAAAGGGGAGTAGAAACCAGGAACTAAAAAGCTGATTGGGGGTGGAGGATCTGATAAAGGCATTCAGCCCATACAAACAGGAGTGGTACAGCAATGAGATACTTTCATCCACATATCCAAGGACAGAAGGTGGCACTAAAAAAATGGGACTCCAAATCATGAGAAAATATATTTAGCTTTGGAAAGTTGTGTGTATGTGTAGGCATGCAGTTTAGACCTCACGGCTCTTTATTCTGATGTTCCTGAATGTCAATCCTGCGGGCAAACACAAACTTACTTTCTGCGTATCACTCGTAAGCTTGAATTCTCAGTCATTTAATCTTGACAATGTTTTTGATTAAAACTGAAACTGAAAATCTCAATCTTGGTACTTACCTTGTATGAGACCTTAACCACAGAAGGAGCCCACTTATCAAATTCATAAGCCCAATTTGATAGAGTTCTAAAACAGAAAAACAGTGAGAATTCCATTTTATGAAACAATTCTCTTCTAACTTGTTTCAAGGGAGTAATTAAAAGTTAAACCTCATAACCACAATATGTTTAATGAATAAAAACTGTGCGAAGTCTCACACAAATTTTATGTGTTTATTTTAAATTAATAATTTATGTGTTTAAATAGAAGGTGGAAAACGTAGATGAAGAACAAATATCAGTAAATAAACAAAAGATTTACAATTACTGTAAAATTTAAAATTCATTATTCCATTAACTAATTAATGTACAGAACTAGGTTCATTATATCATTTTATTCCCTGGATAGAAGTTGGAACTGGAAACAGCTGGAGGGCATCAGGTTGCCTAACTCTGGCCTAGCCTGTTATTCCACTGATTCATGATATCAGTGTCTACTACATTAGCTTCTGCCAGCCTTTTTTTTCTCACTGCCTTTGACTTTCCCAAGCATCAGGTTTTTCTCCAAAGATTCTGGCTTCTGTACTATGCAGCCAACATATTTAAGCTGTGGCTTCATGATCAGTGCTTCCAGTGAGACGTCTGGTTTTCTAGTACTGAATGGCTTATTCTTCATAGGGAACAGTGAAAAAAACTGAGGAGATGGGAACATTTCTAGGTAGAACACCAGAGGAAGCAGCAGTGCAATGCGTGGTAAAACAAGCAGTCAGCAGCCCAAAGATATCTGAAGCAGCAGCATACCTTAAGCTGTACTTGTGACTATAGATTAATAAGATCAAGCCAGCCCATAGGGCAGTGTTTCTCAACCGTGGCAACTTTAGGTTGTGCGGACCAACTCCCAGAATTCCCCAGCCACTGTGCTGGCTAGGGAATTCTGGGAATTGAAGTCCAAACATGTTAAAGTTGCGAAGGTTGAGAAACATTGCCATAGGGTATCAGCTGAAAGTAGCAGAAGAAACAAAGTAGTATGAGACTCAGAAGCTAACAACTACAGTTAACAGATCACAATGACTGAGTTCACATATTGAGCTAAGTTAAAACCAAGCTAAAGGGAAGAAAAAAAGCATCTCTGTAAAAAGTGTCCTAATTTTATGTCTCATCATGCTGTGGATTAAATTAGTTCTTTTTCAGGTCACTGTGTCTATCACTGTGCCTGTCAAGGGTGTACGGATTTTAAGTTACCTTCAGGATGGAGTTCATAGAACCAGAAGGTTGGAAGGGACCTTGTAGGTCAACCCCCACTAGAATTTGTCCACTAGAGTCAGCCTGACCTAGTCAATCTTGCCAGGGAAGACAACTGTCAGCTCCCCTTTTGAGAGTTGGGGGGGAGCATGGAGTGCTTGGCCTTCAGGAATGGCCTCCCACTGGAACTTACATTAGCCCCGACTTTGGCCAACTTCTGGAAGCAGCTGAAGATGGAGTTCTGGAGGGCATTGGGGACTTGACACCTTTTGGGGGTATTTTCTGGTTTGTATGTTATAGGTTTCATATGATTTTAACCACACTGTGGATGTTTTAATGATTTTTGTAGTTCTGTGAAGTCACTGAGAGTCCTGTGGGATTGTGGCAGGGCATAAATGTAATAAAGAAACAAGCCCCCAAATTAAAGCAAACTCACCTCTGACACTAATTTAAATTAAAATTATTTAAAAATTTGTTCTTAAGATGTAAATTTTTCTCAGTTCACTATGCTCACATGAGATCAGGGTGAAATTGTACAAATGTGAGATTTCAGGCAATATCACAAGACACCACAGGGGGTGGGGGCATGAAAAAGACCCAACTTCTGGTTTAGCATGTTATATGAATCAAGCCAGATTTCAAACCATGGTTGGAATTTATGCTTGCAACATAAATGATGATTTGGCTTCTCAGTTACAGTCAATGAACATCAATATCTACAATGCCTGAACTGAACTTGTAAATTTACTCATTCATACTTCCTCGGTCATTTGTTGTTGCCATTGCTGAACTTTTTATTGCCCGCTCTCTGAAACAGTTACTACAGCATACCAAATGCTGCTTCTGTTGCGCTGAAAGTTTTGGTCATGGTTGCCTGGACCACAGATTTTTGAAAGCATTATTTATTTTTCCTATTAAATTGCATCCCACGACTTCCTTCCATCTGCACACAGTAACAGTGCTTTTTCATGCATACAGAAAGTCTTAAAGTTGCCCACCCATCTTCGAAGGATACTTACGACAGAGGTACTATAATGAGGAACGGTCCGTTGATTCGTTTGTGCTCCATGAGGTATGTAATTAAAGCAATGGTCTGGATTGTCTTACCCAGGCCCATTTCATCGGCCAGGATGCCATTGAGATTATTATTGTACAAAGATACCAGCCACTCTAAACCTTTGATCTATGGATGGGAAAAAGAAACACATACACATTATAGGGCCTACAGAGAGAAAATCATGTTCTACAGAGCAGCTCAAAGCAATGAATTTGCCTGCTCATCCAAGCGGTAGAGACTTACTCCCTGCTTCTTACCTGATACTGTTTGAGGACACCATTCACCATGAGGGACGACTGTTTGTCCACCCTTTCAGTGACTGCATGGGCCACAGCATAGTAAGACTGCAGCCCCCTTGCCAGGGCCTGGGACACACCATACTCATCATCAACATCTTGTTTGGCGTTCCTAAGAAAAAGTTTCAAGGGAATGAGAAAGATAGAATGGGATTGTTAGCTTTACTGCAATGTAACTGCTATCTTAGGAGAGCAGAAAGGAAGTTAATTTTTGTTAGGTGTGAGGGAGCAGAAAAAAACACAAGAATTGCCTTATCTTTTGGAGTTTAACTGTGTATGAATGTTTTTTTTGGGGGGAACACATACAGTTTAAGAAACCACTTGACATAACGTGGAGGTTTACATTGTCTACTTTAGTCCTGAGGCTTTCAATTTCTTAGAACACGTTTGGCCCCTGGACAACTTGGAGCAAAGATCTGCTCTGGATTCTTCCTCTCCTGTTTAGAATGGATCTGACTAAGGTTCTAACTTTGTGCAAGAGGAAGGAGTGACAGTAACATAGTGGGGGAATGTAACACCTGAATTCTGTACCACGCTATCCGTTTTTTCCTTTGAGATCATTCAAGAATCTGTTTCCCTCCTGGGTGACTGACTGGAGTCTCCAATGAAGTTGCCTGTCTCCAGGCTGATTATGCCTGAAACTTCTGAATAATACCTAAAGTTGGGGGCATTTCCCATCACTGTCTACTAGAGTCTTCCTGGTTCTTGCAGAAAGGCCTGATGAAGAACCAGGGAATGCAGATGGTCTGGGTGGGAGCTGTCCCACTTCTAGAAAACAAAGCTTGGCCCTTGTTGCTAGGCAGCACGTATTCTCCTTATGGTAACCATGGAACTGTCAAAGAGTGGCAGCTGGAATGGACAATTTTCATCCTTGTTCTCTTCCTAAGTCAACACTGCTTTATCATGTATAATTACATAACTGTTTTCATGTATTATTGGCTGCTAAGGAGGGTTGCTGTCAGGAGAAAGATGGTGTGTATAATCAGGAGCAGCTATAATTTCAGAACCTAGGACCCAGAGCAGCATCTATTTCTGCATTAATATGAAGATAAAGAATAAGAGCAATGGGACAGAATAAGAATAAGATGCCTGGGACAGCACCTTTTCAGCTGTTACCCCACTACACAGAGTAACTATGTAGTGGTGCTTAGCAATCTTGCTATTCCTTTGCAATACAGACTGCAGAAGCAGCTGCCCAAGAGGGAGGGAGGGAGGGAGGGAAGGAGAAGGGCCATCATCTACCGTGTCTCTTTGTACTCCTGGCATTTTGTACTTTGCCATGCTATAGTCCTCTGGGGAACCAAGGGGGAGGCAATCTGGTCCAAATTGGGAGACTACTCTTCCCAAGGCAAAGGATGGGTCTTTTCCAGCAGGAACTGCCCTTCTTCACTTAGGGGAAAGATTCTATATGCACCCACCCTCCTTTTTCACCTCCGTTTAAAGAGAAAGCCAAAAGAAGCAGCTGACCAAACAAACAAAAAACCCCCACAACAACACGAGTCATACTCAATAATGTGCCTCGCGTCGACTTCTGATACATCATCACTGTCTGGATCCGGAATCTTTTTCTTCTCCTCTACAGGCAGAGCAGACTGAGAAGGCTGAGGTTGTTCTTCCTCTTCCTCCTGCCACAAACCAAAATCCCATTAATGTAACTCAAAGTACCTGGGCACTGAAGGACCACCCCGTCAGCTCTGCTGATTTGCCTCCTCCATCCAGTCCCTCAAGATGTTAGCAGCAGCAAGAGAAAAAAAAAGTGGGGAGGGGGAACTGCAAGGCTATCCGTTCCCTTTAAACATTTCTGTTTAAGCTGGCTCTTGTAAGAACTCTAACTAAACTCTGGTGCCTGGACGCGCATTTTCTCTTCTTCCCACATCGTCCTCTTTTTCTTTTGCAGCATTCTTAGACAGAAAACCCGCAGAAGCAGGGTCCGTCAAATTGTAACTGATCTCAAAAAACTGCTCAGGGAGTTTTTGGATGACGGGTAAAAACTCAGCAGTTCAATTCACTTCCAATTCATTACCACCATTAACCGACAAAAAGGGGAAACATTTCAAATAACAATAATAAGATATTAATGGCTGCATCAGAAGCGATACAGTCTTAATTAAGAGGACAAACTGCAGCAAGATTTATACCAATATATTCCGACTCACGGAGAAGGACATCTTAGACGATACATACATATATGTATAATTATCATTTGTGATTAGAGATACGGACAATAAGTACAGGCTCTCAGCACTTTTTTTTTTTTTTTGGCTTAAAGGTTCAGCTCTGTTTGCTTGAGTCTTGTGTCTACTTTACTCCTTTCTCACGTGTCATTACTCACATGCACGTCTAGTTATATTGCTCCAATGCAGAGAGAAGCATTATTCATTGGAGCTACAGTTTAATCCTGCTGGCCTGATTTATACTGTACTTAAACGAAAACAGCAAAATGTAATGGGAAATAGGCACCACTAGTTAAGTTCTGTTTTCCTGATGACAAGAAGGCTCTACTTGAAAATAAGTAAAATGAGATTGTTGTTCAGTCGTGTCCGACTCTTCGTGACCCCATGAACCATATTGCGCCAGGCCTTCC